CCTCAGGAGAGGCCCAGGAATTGCTGTTCAGAGCCCCTGTGGCTGTGAACGGGTTTTAGGAGCTGTGGGATGTGGTGCCCGCCGTACCAAAGGGTGGCTCAGAGGGCGGGGATGGTGTGAGGGAATTGGAGATGTCGGTCTGGGGGACCCTGGGGCTGCTCTGAAGGCAGGTGAGGCCAGCGCAGCGCAGGGAACCCGGAGAGAGGCTGGAGGTGTTGCTGTATCCCGGGATCCTCCGTCCCCCTGTGCACATCCCAGGGCCCCGCATGGGTCCCCTGTGCCGCTGGGGCCGCCTGTCCCTCACCCCGTGCAGCCCGTGTGTCCCTCCCGCACACCGAGCTGGCTGCAGCCGGCTTCACTCCCATCCCTGTTTGCTGCCTTGTCCCACAGGGACCCCAATTCCTCCCTTGGACCCCCTCCCTTTCCTCTTGGCTCTGCAGTTCAGCCCTTCCTCCAGCTTTTGGGGCTCCCCAGAGTCCTCAGCCCTGCAGCGAAACCAAACCCTCCCCATTCACCTGCTGGCCGTATGAATTTCCCTCCAGTATCTCCCAGAGCTTCCCATTTCCCCCGGTGCACTGCAGAGCCCTCTGCTCTCTCCCAGCTCTCAGGATTGTGCAGGTGCAGCTTTCAGTGCGTCCCCCTTGGTCCCCTCTGGTGGCACCAAGAGCCTCCCGTCCCTCACAAGACTCGAATAAAACCGGGGGAAGCTGCTTCCAGCCCAGCTAAAAAGTGTTTCCAATTTTAGCTTCCCTCCTCATTTGGGGCTTGGAGCAACCCGGTCCAGTAGAAGGGATCTCTTCCATGGCTGGAGGGTAGAACAGGGTGGATTTTAAGGACCCTCCCAACCCAAACTGGTCTGGGATTCCATTATTTTGATATAGATGTAACAAAATGAGGTGCCTGGGTCCTGATCCCAGGAGTATCCCTCCTGTAAACTGAAATTCCCTTTGCAGAAGGCCTGTGGGATGTAGATGATCCCAGCACACCTCAAGGGGTGGAGGGAAAAGCTGCTCTCAGGTGTTTTAGAGCCAGACCGACCGCCTGCTCCCCTCAGAACCGGGCTGGGGGCGAGTTCCCACTCTGCTGCAGCTCTGGGAGAGGACTGAGCTGTGGGAAAGNTGGAGCTGCATCCTCCAGCACTGCTCAGGGTGGGACTGGGAGCTGAGTCCCGTGGGTTTGGCACAGGGAGAAGGGCAGGATGCGCCGTGGGTGTGCCGATGTCTGGGCACTGCCATACCCAGCAGTTTTCCTTGTTCTGAGTGCTCCAGTGTAAACAGTAGTGCCTTCTGCATGTTTTTCTGCTGTCCTAAAGCAGTATGAGCTCCCAGGTGAGGCAGAGATGTTTAGTTCAAGCTCTGCCTCAGAGGAAAGTTAGTCTCAGTTTCCAGCCACTGAAATGAGAATCCTCAGGAGCAGAGAGGCCAGAACACTTACTGTTCAGGCTTTCACTTCTTCCAGAAGAAATTACAGTTCTGTGGTTATGTTTGAGCCCTTACATGGGTAAGTGACACCACAGAGGCAGGTGGTTGGGGCTACCCCATCCCTGGAAGTGTTCAAATCCAGGTTCCATGGGGCTTGGACCAGCCTGGGATAGTGGATGGTGTCCCTGCCCATGGCAGAGGGTGGAACAAGATGGGCTTTAAGGGTCCTTCCAACCCAAGCATTCTGGGACTCAGTGATAAGTTGGCTACTGTCTATTGCTGATGAACTATTTCTTCTCCAGTAGAAAGGCAAAGAAACCCCAAAATGTGTTTCTAGGCTGGCTCCATAAAGAGCTGGTGAAAGAGCTGTGCTGGATCCTGTGGAACAGCTGGCTGTAGCCTCACCTGTGCCAATGTGGAACAGGAGGCTCCTGCCCACTGTGGTACACCCTTACCTGCTCTTCCAGTGCCCAGGGATCCCCAGGACCTGCCCTGCCAGAGGCTCCTGGCCCTGCCTGCTGTGGTTGCTGTCCTCCTGATGACCTTTTCCCTTTCCTGCAGGTCCTGTTTGTGGATAACTGGCGTGTCCTGCACGGCCGGGAGGCTTTCACCGGGTACCGGCAGCTCTGTGGGTGTTACCTGACGAGGGATGATGTGCTGAACACTGCCCGCCTGCTGGGGCTGCAGGCCTAGCCCGGCCTCCAGAGAGCCAGGCAGCCCCAGCCCCACCTCTGGGAGAGGCAGGACCCTCCCAGTGCCACTGCCAGGAGAGGCAGGCAGCCCCCAGACTCAGCTCTGGGAGTTGCTGGCAGCCCCCAGTCCCACTTTTGCCAGCAGCCCCTCAGTGCCAGCCCTGGGAGAGGCAGGAGCCCCCAGCCCCACTCCACACCAGGCCAGCTGGGCTGGTGCCTCCCCAGGTGCTCCAGGCCCTCTGTGCCACTGCAATACCTCAGGCACCTCCACCCTCTCCAAGCAGCTCCCAGGGCCTGCTCGGGCCAGGGGGCAGGTGGAAACCAAAGGTTGTGGTACCATTTTTTGGGATCACGCTCTGCCTTTGAGCACAGGCAGCCCTTGCTGTCCGTGCTCCCAGCCTGGCCCTCCCAGCCAGGGTGGCTCAGTTGTGGTTAATCCCACCACAGTAAGTGCTCCTCCAAGCAAGTGCCTTCAGGATTCCCTGTTTGGCCTTTTTTTCCAGCTGCCAGTTTTAGGGGACTTTGAGCAGAGCAGAGTGGAAATCTCTGGGATCTTGTCTCTTATCACTGATGAAGCAGCCAAGCTGCCTGAGACAGGGCCTGGAGACATCCTGGTGTGCTTTGAGCATTTCTGAGAAGGTTTAGGTTAGAGAAGGAAAAGGGAAGCACCAAGATGTGCATGGTGTGAAGCAGAGATCACAATGTTAGATGAGGGATGGAATTCCCACTTTTCCTGGACTTCCAGGACTGCCACGCTGCTGTTGCCTCTGCCTGTTGCACTGCACTTCTGTTGAGGGCAATACTCGCAGCCCCAGGGTTTCTGACAAATTTCCCACCGTGCCTCCTCTTCCATCCTTTCTTAAGGAATTGGTGTTAGATCATCATCATACTCTCTAGTACATGAAACTCACTCTTTGGGTGTATTTTTTCCCAAAATTCTCCTCCTCTGAATGTAACTCAGAGATGCCTTTCAGCTCCTGGGATCTGGCATGCTGAAGTGCCACAGGGTAAGGCACAAAAGCAAATCCTGCTGTTGGACATTTTTCATTCTGCCATATCTTTTGGGGTTTTCCCTCTGCTCTGACCAGACCTTAAAGCAGGGCTGGGCCAATTCACCCCTGGCTGTGCTGTGTGAGGTGCTCTGTCCTCAGGGCAGGGGCAGTGCAGGTGCACAGGTGCTGAACTTGCTGCTCTTGTTTAATCCAAACACTGAATGTAGAGATCGTGGTGCCAAGACAGTCCTGAAATCTGCTCTTGCTGTGGGCTGAGCTCCCTGATGCTCCCAGTGCTCCCTCCCCAGAGCTTCCCATCCCCAGTGAGCCCCTGGAGTCAGCAGGGATCAGAGGGATTTCCAAGCCCAGGCTGGGCAGGTGGTGCCAGGGGCGCTGCCCTCTGTCAGGTGCAGCTCCAGTGGCAGCCTTGGGTCCTGGTAGGACCAATTTTAAAACTCAGCAGGAAAATTAAGCCCCCTCCAGCCAACCCCTTTCCATAGTGGAAAAAAAACACTCTAAGTTCTGAGTTGGAGTCACAATTTACTGAAGAAATCGCAATAATCACAATGATATTAATAAAAGATTGTATAAAATGAGAATGGTTTGCCCACAGAAAGGGTATTTGCCATCAGAAAGTGCCACCAGTCCCCTGGGACAAAGGTGAGAGGTGGCAGTGGTGCAGCCAGGTGGCGGCAGTGGGGAGACTCTGGAGTGAGCCCAGCAAAAGAAGGAGAATCTCTCCTCTTCCACCTCCAGTTCTGGAAGGGGACAAAGCCACTCCCTTCCCCAGCCAAGGAAAGGACAAAAGGTTCTGCTCGCAGCGTCTGAGCATTTCCTGCTGGAATTCGCCCCCTCCAGCGGCGGGGACAGCGAGCGGGACCCTGGGGCTGG